TTTGGCCACCCAACCCAAGTCCACGCAAGTTGAGTGACGTACATTAACCTATTATTAGCCAATGAAATACAGGGTATTTTTGCATTGAAATGGGTTTTTTGTGACTTGCATGTACTTGTGAGGAAATGTGCGAGTCCGTTTGGCCATGCAACGCAAGTTCAACTTGTGGCTACTTACAACTATTTGTGATTCAGTTTGGCCAGGGCTTTAAACTCTGTCCTTTCTTTTGTAACAGACAGCATAGGTCTTCATCGTGTGGAGAACGTTAGCCATACTGACACAGCTGCATCACTTCATGTCTACATCCCAGCATTTGACATGTGTCAGTCATTTGACCAGCGCACAGGATACAAGCGGAAATGTCAAGTGACATTCTGGAGCAAGTTTGGCTCGAGAACACCTTATGTGAGTATAACACATTCCTTATGTCTGAGCTCTGAGTGTTTGCTATCCAATTGCTATTTTAACAAGGATGTTTAGTTTGACTGCTAATTTACACTCTGTTTCTTGTTTCAGAAACCAAGCTCATGTGCCAACTAATGCTATCCACAAGAAAAGAAGTATATGTGTTTTCACTGTAAGGAATCTTTGAGAAACAATACATGTACATCCCAACAGGGATTGGTCAACATTTATGATACTTAAAATCCTTCTGATATTTACTGCAAATATGAAAATATGAACATATAAAAATATGAGCTATATTACACGTACTTAAAGGTTTCAAAACTACTTTTAAGTTTACAGGCCTCGAAAAAAGTGCCATCTGGTCATCTGGGACAAGTAGATTCTCCTTAGAACTGGGCAAGTGACTTTTCACTCGTACTTGCCCCATGGGCAAGGGATCAGGCAAGTCGTCTGACAAATAAATCATTAAAAGATCAAACTATGACTTGCCAGGGCAAGCAAACTTTAAGAGCTACTTATCCCAAGGGCAAGCTGGAATTCAAGGTTTTTTTTGAGTCCTGAGTTTAATGTTTGCCTATTTGATCTAAACATGTACATGCTTAGTTTTCATTTTGTAGGCTTTTGATAGTTTTGAATTTTGCCTTCATTGTACGTGCTAAACTCTATTTAATGTATAGAACAGTATTTTATTACTGAAAAAACTAAATGTCTAACATCAAATGATAAAGTTCCTATTCTCTGTATGCCACATGAAATTAACCTATGTAGCCAGAGTGAAGCACTCTACACAGGCTACATGAAATTCAATTTACTTTAAAAAAAGAGACAAGTGCAGGGAACAGAGTGTTGTTATAAAGTTAAGTGATTGTTAGAATGCCATGGGCTAAAACGTTGAAAAATGTTACAAAGTATACATTGATATTGGAATAGCAATAATTAAGTTTTGGTCTTACCTAGGAAGACTTTAAACAAATCATATTTTCTTATGAAATTAATAGATTGTTCGCTTTATTAAGACTGTATTTTGTAGTTGGATATTTTACGCAAGTTAAAAACTGTTTGTTAAGTCCTTGTTGACTATTAAAATGTACTTCACAGGTGTGAAAACCTTTGGAATGAAAAAAAGTTATTAAAGCAGTTGTTGATTGTATTGTGAAATTTCCTCCTTTCTTCTCGAGATTCCCACAGAGCTATTGAATACATATTCATTTTCCCCCTCCACAATTTCCTTGTGCCATCTAGCTGGCCGGAAGACAGAGGAGCGACAGAGCCCAAGAGGAATGGGGAGAGGGAAATGTAGAGGGTCTTCACGCCAGCCTCTCACTCCACTTGTGGACCATCAAGTTTATAAGTGGCTACTCCCACCGGTCAGTGTAACAGAGTCGGATAAATTTTTGACATATCGATTGTCACCCTCCTCGCCATCTTACATAGGGGTGGGGGTGAGGAGANGGGGGGGGGGGGGGGGGGGGGGGGGGATGACGCCTTGGCTCCGAAGCCAAGGGGAATAAAACAAGATTATTATTTTTTTTTCTATTCTACGACCTCGGCATGATTCATTTTTATACGCGACCGTAAAATTCTGGTAAACCTCGGCGAAACCTCATCGCGAGGGTGACTGAATTATCAACCTCGTTCCCATGTGTACTTACCTGTAATCATTATCGTAGTTATGCAGAATGCAACATCCTTGCGGGCAATAACAAATAATAAACATCAATTTTTGCATTCGTGACAGAATGGATTTTTTTCTTTTTTGAATATAGAGAGCGTCTGGCTCTGATTCTATTCTTTTACATGTAATTACATGCTCTCTAAGCTCCGTCACTAATATTGAATAATCCTATTTCCGGCACACTCGCGTTATAAAGCCATTTCATTTCCGTTTCGGAAAGCCGGTTAACGGTTAACACGGAAATATAGTTAACCTGACCGTTAAATTTCAGCTGGGCAACAAATAGTGGATCCCCCTAATTTTTTTCTTAGGGTTACTTCTCACAGTAGAGTACGTAGTGGGAGAGCTCGCGAGAAAAATGTGGGACCCCCCGGACTTGTATAGTCTAATTACAGCCGCTTAGTTTTTAAGCTGGTTAGTCAAACTTGTACAAAGTTAAAAGGTGACAAATGTTTTCTTTTTTCCCATAAATTCAAGCAACACGTATTTCTAGAAATTGCTTTTCACTCGTCACGCTTTAATTCCCCCCTCGTACACTTGCGCTCTTAAAAATGTTTAAAAAAAGTAAGATAATTACTGGCAACTTTTAAAACTTAACCTGACCCCCTGTTTAATTTGTGAGAACTGCTTTTTTCTCATTTTTTCATGACAAGTGAGAAGCACAACATCTCGCCAGTGCCTCGCTTTCAAATTAAATCGCCATGAAAGTCGCGCAGGAGACACAAAGAACCAATAGAGTTTAAGAATGGCGTTTGTTGCAAATCCGGGCTAACGGGAAAGATTGATAATCAAACCAGGCGTTCGACTTAATGAAAAGACTGACGGTTGTCGAGCATTGATCGAGGGACATCCATCAAGCTGTCCCTAAAAACCACAGCTTACTACCCATGCAACTCGTGGGTGTGGCGCGCGATGGAAGTTGCATGTCTGCTGTCTGGGTAGCCTGCGAACACAGACGGATAAACACGGGAGCTGTTCGGTCTGTGTTCGCAGGCTAGCTGCATGCTGGGAGAACTTGCCAGGGGACTTGCTGGGAAGTAGACCTTCAGATATGTTTCTCCTGGAATAATGAACACTTATCAATTTGCCAGTAAATAGAAAAGAGAGAAAAAGAAAAGAAAAGCTTGGTAATTGAATTATTTGATGTTGGTTACTTTATGGTGTTGACTATCCGTGGTGAGTTCTGAATTAGAGAAGAGGTCAACTTAAAAAATTAAACTTCGAATGGACAAAGCCAACAAAGAATAAACATGTCAAACAACGTAATACACAAAGACACGAAGAAACAGACAAGCAAACAATTAGTATAAACAAACAAACAAACAAACAAACAAACAAACACAGAAACAGACAAACAAACCGTTTGTTTCAACTAACAAATGGAGCGATGATTTTGTTTGTCTCACAGGAGTTTGCTGGCCATCGAAATTAGAACCTACGTGGGTCTACTATGCCTGGTGG